AATCAGTGAATAAAACATTCGGATTGGTTGACTCTTACGTTCACGACTACGCTTACGCAATTGTAGAATGGGCTTAACAGTAAAGCCCATTTTACAATTGCGTAAGCGTAGCATGAACGTAAGAGTCAACCAATCCGAATGTTTTATTCACTGATTGCTTTACTCTGATTGGTTGTCGTAATCACTTACAACCACTTACAACCACGTTCACGCAATTGTAGAATGGGCTAAGAACCAATAATCGCTGATTGCTCATTGAGCGATTTCCGTTGAACGTGTCCAATGGGTTCAAAAAGCGCTCAAAAAGCGCCCAAAAAGTGCTTAGTAAGCAATTAGCGATTATTGATTCTTACTGTTAGATCCCTAAATCTAGACCAATTACATTAACGAATTGCTCAACTGTTGTGCAACTGTTAAGTTCGCTGAACGCACCCATTCTTTACAATTGTCCCGAGCAGCGTGAATACGAATGTACTCGACCTTCGTGCTTTCGACGACGGCGCACACTTACGAACGCGCGAGGCACCATGCACGGGGGCAGAACAGCAACAACGTTGGAGTAGACGTAACGCAGCGACACGGCGACGCGACGGTGAAAGCGAGGAGAATCGCGGTTTTGTTTTGTTATGATTCACTTTTGCGCATCTGGCAGCGATAGCACGTCGCAATCGGTCGCGTAGAGTTGCTCCTGCGAGAAGGACAAGCAGGTGATTTCTCGGCCAACGAGCGTGATCCATGAGAGAGCGATTATCCTGTACGTGGTGCGATGCGATAGCTGGCGGAGGAACGTGCCGCTGCTCGTTGTCGCCGAGTTGGTGGTGGTGGTGGTGGGGGTCCTTCCGCGGATCGTGAACACGGAGGAAAGCGAAGTGACAGGGCGAGCGTCGCTTCGCGGGTCGCCTACAGTATGCTCAGGGTTTGCGACAGGCCGATATTATGGCTGCAGGTGAGGCCAGCACGACGAAGCCTCGTCAAGAGAAGCAGTACGACTACCTGCTCAAATTCCTGCTGGTGGGCGACAGTGACGTCGGCAAACAAGAGATCTTGAGCGGCCTCGAGGACGGCGCCGCTGAGTCGCCGTTCTGCAGTGGCAGCGGTAAGCAATCTAATTTGCTAGTTGATGCTTCTTCAGGTTCTTCTCTCAACCAAACACTTTATACACAAAGTGATCGTGCATTGGCTACAGTTACTTGCAATAATTCTCCTTTGAAGCTTGTTTAATTAATTGTCTGGAGCTCATGATTAATCGTCTAATTTTCTTCCAGCTTACAAAACTACCACTATCCTGCTAGATGGCAAACGTGTCAAGTTACAATTATGGGACACATCAGGCCAAGGCAGATTCTGTACAATTATCAGGTCCTATTCCAGGGGTGCGCAAGGTATTCTCCTGGTATACGATATCACCAATAAATGGTCCTTTGATGGCATTGATAGGTGGCTGAAAGAGGTGGAAGAGGTATGACTGCTATCTAAAATTTTGTACAGATTTTCTCAGAGTCAATCATGAATTTTTTCCCTAGTTAAACTTATGAAGAGTGAGAAATCTAAATTAGATCAGTTCTGTTTCAAAGAACTTCCTGAACTGGTGTATACTAGTGCAATAAGTTAGAGTGAAACAAGTATATTTTGTTCCACTCTAACTTATTATACCTGTATACACAAGTTCAGGAAATTCTTCACGAAAGAACTTTTTGAAAATATATGAGAATATTCACTTTTCATGAGTTTACATTGGAGTAAAAGATTCATAATTGTTTCCAGGTACTGCATAATTATTCACTTTTCATGTTAGAGAAAAGATTCAATGTTAGAGAAAAGAATTATATGATTGATAAATAAGATCGAATTTACATGAAATGATTCATGATTGATCGCCAAAACTCTTACAATAAGACACGTTTTAATCGATGAAAACTTTTACAGCATGCACCCGGTGTACCAAAAGTACTGGTCGGCAATCGTCTTCACTTAGCCTTCAGGAGGCAAGTGGGGGAACGAGACGCGGAGGCTTACGCGGCTAAAAATCGCATGGCGTTCTTCGAGGTCTCGCCTCTCTGCGACTTCAACATCCGTGAGAGCTTCTCGGAACTTTCGCGCATGGCACTACACAGAAACGGCATGGAAAGATTATTGCGACCCAACAAAGGTAAGATTACTTAGGTTAGCGAGTCGCTCGCTCGCATCATTCGAGTTCAAAAGGCACGACTGCTAAAGGCAAGATTCCTCGTTTGAGTTGGAGCTAAAGTTGAGGGATCTACAATTAGTTAGTCTGTTATGGAGATTATAAAACAAAATAAGTTTGTTAAGAATACATAAAACTTGCATTACATATAAATGTAAACTGCTCATGTAATTAGAAATATAGATTGTTTATTTGGGAATTAACATATTTGAAACTAAAACTCTGGGATTGTTATGTGTGTATATACATACATACACACACACACACACATTAATGCATGCATACATACATACAGGGTATTTCATTTTAAAAGATGCACCCTGATAATTCTTCAGCCAAGCATATTCAGCAAAAATGTTTCAGACAAAAGTTATATGGTTCGATGGAAGACATAAGAAGGTACCATTAGTTTGACCTTATGTGGCGTCGCCAAGATTAGATCGAGGTCAACTTTGCTTTTTTTTATAAACATATTTTTAAAGAAAAATTTTTTATTACAGAATTTTATTCTACGTAAAGAAACAAACAACTTTTGTTTGAAAACATTTTTTATACGACCTCTATTTTCTAAAATATTTACGGAAATATCTACAAAATTATTGGTTTCAATAATTTTTTACTCGAATTCTATCAACTTTACCGAAAAATAGCAAGAGATAAAAATTGTTTATTTTCTTCTCGTAGAGCTCTGAGAATTTTTTCAGAATTTTTTAATTAATTTTTTAGTACTTTAAGAAAGTGCAAGAAAATGCAGTACTAAAAAGTTAATTAAAAAATTCTGAAAAAATTCTCAGAGCTCTATGAGAATTTTTTCAGAATTTTTTAATTAATTTTTTAGTACTTTAAGAAAGTGCAAGAAAATGCAGTACTAAAAAGTTAATTAAAAAATTCTGAAAAAATTCTCAGAGCTCTATGAGAATTTTTTCAGAATTTTTTAATTAATTTTTTAGTACTTTAAGAAAGTGCAAGAAAATGCAGTACTAAAAAGTTAATTAAAAAATTCTGAAAAAATTTTCAGAGAGAATTATCTATTTTCTATGAGAAAAAATAGATAATTTTTATCTCTTGCTATTTTTCGGTAAAGTTGATAGAATTCAAGTAAAAAATTATTGATCCAATAATTTTATAGATATTTCCGTAAATATCTTAGAAAATAGAGGTCGTATAAAAAATGTTTTCAAACAAAAATTTTTTGTTTCTTTACGTAGAATAAAATTCTATAATAAAGAATACACATTTCTATTAAAAAAAACAAAGTTGACCTTGACCTGACCCTGACCCTTGGCGGCGCCATGCAAAATCAAACCAGTGATACTTTCTTATGTCCTCCATCGAACTATATAACTTTTGTCTGAAAAATTTTTGCTAAATATGCTTGGCTGAAAAGTTATCAGGATGCATCTTTTAAAATGAAACACCCTGTATACATATACACACATACATACATATACAAGTACAAATTCTTTTGTAGGCAATCGAAATACGAACGTATTTTATAAAAGAAACTTTCAAATGTTTTTAATTCATAAACAAGCCATACAAGGATTTTGCCTATTGAGATTTTTTATCAAAGCTGCAAAAGCTACACTATATCATGAATCTAAACAAATTGAGTTTCTCATAAGAATCCTGCGGAATTGAGCAAATTGAATTTCTCATAGGAATCGTGCGGAGTCTTCTAATTCATAATTAAAAAGCTAATTATACAGAAAACATATATATTGGTTAGCATAATTAACTTTTAGTTAAGTTGGTCTTTGTATATGTAACTTAACATAGCTAATTTTATGTCATCAACTTTGAATTTAATTAAGATAAAAAAGGAAATTAACTTATCAATCCTGTCCCTTATAGTGCTCAGCCTGCAAGAACTGGCGTGTCGTGCGATAGTAGCCCGCACAACAGTCTATGGTATCGATCAACTGCCATTGCCCATGTCCATCAAGTCGCACCTAAAATCGTACGCAATAACAACTACGTCTCAACTGCGCTACAACGGTAATCGTTCATTGAGCTCCAGCAAGAGTTTAGGATCGCATCACCGGAAACTGCGATTCGTTGTAGGTCATCATAATAATGGGCTTTCGACGCCAGGCAGTTCCCCCGGCAGCATCACGGACTCCCGTACCAGTTGCGTCGGCCGCAACTCCTGCACGGTGTCGTGAGAGTGAAAAAAAACGGAAACTAAAAGAAATCAGGGTAGCGGTTACTTACAAAGCTAAACGACACACAGCAGTAATCAACGTTCTTCCTCTCCCCCTCTGTTTTGTCGAGAATACAAACGCGTTTACGATGTTGTTTCATAATTGATAGTGAGTATTGTTAGACTATATCATGAGATAATATATATTATATATATACATACGAAAATTCCGATTTACCACTTGCTAGCGTTGACGGATAAGATCGGATAAACTTGTTGCGTTTATTATACGAAGTACGTTTTATAATGTCTATATTTTAACATTCGTGAATCTTGCGCATTTTACGATGATAATTAACGAGCTTAAAAGAGAAAGAAGCAAATTGTCGTAACCAGTGCCATCCGTTGTATGAGATAGAAAGAGAGAGAGAGAGAGAAAAAAACAAAAGTGCAACGTTACGGTACACACAAGGTAGAGAAATGATTGATAACTATTAAGTACGTATATTACACGTACCGTCAATCGCAGAGCTCGTGCAGGTTTTCCATCGCGGGAGAGAACACGTTGGAATTACGGAGTAATAGACACATATACATATATCACCGATATACGTTTACGCAACTCGAGTGTGCCCATACGTTTTAAAATCCTCATGAGTCGCTTTGTTTTAT